TTTAAAATTAAAAATATAATTTATATATTTTAAAATATTTATTTATAAAAAATTTAAATATAATTTATATATACTAAGTTTTTTATTTTTTATTTTTTGGTATCGTAAGTTTTTAATTTGTTAACGTAAGATTATTTGATCTTTCTTTTTCTAAAAGTACTACACTTTATTTATCTGTATATTTTACATAAATTCAATAGAAGTTGTTATATATAAATTTTTATAATTATTAACAATGTGTATTAGTATATAAGCATAAATGTATATTATAATTCAATCAATAAATAAAAGTTAAGAAATAATAAATAATGAACATATAACTTTAAAAGAAAAAACTATATTTTATTTAAAAAAAACAACTCAATTTCATTATGATCAATTAATATTGTAAGTGTAAAAGCTTTACATTAGAGAGTAATTTTCATCTACTGTTTGTGTAAAAAAAATTATCCTCAATTAATGAGGAATAAGTGAACAATTCATGATTCACTGCACGAATATTATGGCAAATGTGAACGAAATTCAATATTCCTTCCTTCCTTCCTTTTTTTAATATATATATTCAAATTGAAAGTGTTATTCGATTCTTTTATACAAATTAATTTAAATTATCTATTGTATTACTTTTTTTATAAAAATATATTTAATTAAAATTATTTATTTTAATTCAATAAATAGTTGACAGAATGAGTGTTTCAATAATATTAAAAGTAATTTTAAAAATATAAATTTAAGATAAATTTAATATTATCAATTAAATTAATTAAATTATTTAATTATGGTAATTTAAGTAATTTAGTCTAATGAGAATACTTCATGGAATATTAAATATCATTTGTTCCCATTAGAATTTATTCCCTCCAGTATCATATATAGGAAGAAAAAAAAAAGAAGGGTATTTTATATATGAAAACATTAAATATGATCAAATTAATTGAAATTTATTTATATTTAAAATCAATATCCATTTGATTTTTCTTCTTCTTATATTCAGAGAGAGTTCTTATGTATTGCTAGTGCAAATGTTTATGCTATTCTATCTGTCTCATAATAATTATATAACTAATATATGATGAAAAATAAGCTTAAAAATAAAAATTATTTTTTTAATGTAATATTTTTCTCACTTATATATAATAGTAAGGTTAATTATTGAAAAAAAAAACACATATACACTTAATAATAAGATTAATTTTGTATGTATTTTTTCTCTCAATCTCATATTAAGTGTACCGTAAAAAGGTTAATAAATGTCATTTTAGCTTTTTAATATAATGTTATCCTTTTTCATCTATACTACTAATAGTTTTTAGTAGGGGTATAAGTCAATATGAATAATTTATAAATCCAAACTGATTCAATAAATTTGGATCAAATTATTTATATTTAGGTTAAATTTAATTCAACTCAATAAAAATTTGATTTGTACAGGTCAAGTAATAAGTTTTGTATTTTGACTAGTGATCCAATCATATATGATAATAAGGTTAAATAATCCTTTATCTTATTTTTTAGATTCATTTTGATCCTTTATTTATTAAAACGTTCATTATGATCTTTTATCTTTTATATTTTGATAGATTTGATCATTTTCAATTTTGAATCATTTTTTTTATTGATTTAAGATGTAAAACTTGTAACATTAGATTCACATGTATGAAAATTATAAAATTGAATTGATGTTTAATTTCAAAAGGGATATAAATATAGTGAAAATCATGTGATTTATCTCACAAACAACTAAAAAATAATGTGAAATTAGATTTTTAAAATTTTTAATTGTTTTTTAGACTTATTTTTAATTTTTTATGTGATTTTTACCATGTTTACGATAATTTATTGGCATTTGTTTTCAATAATTTTCATGTAATTAAATCTAACGAGACAAATTTTAAGTCTTAAATTAGTAAAAAAAAATACTTAAAATTGTGTCTTAAAAGTGAAAATAATCATTATTTCAAAAGGATCAAATTAACTCAAAAAATAAAAGATCAAAATGAACATTTTAAAAGATAAAAGACTAAAATGAATTTTAAAAATAAGATAAAGGACCAAATGTATAATTTAGCCTAATAATAATGATGATAATAAGTTAGTGTGATCACTTGTTCATGAATGTACTCTTTATTACACTTGCTCATTGATTGTATTTTTAACTTGATAACATTGTAACAATATAATATTTTTATTTAAAATTTTATTTTGTATTAATGTTGGTTGTTTGAACTAATAACAATCCAGTAAATCGAGATATTTGTTTTGAAATTTAGTTTATATTATTATTTGTTTTATCAGTTAATAATATTGCATTTACAACAAAATATTAAATAATTTACATTTATTATAAAATATTTAACTATGTCAATATAATTAAATTTATTTATTTTTTACAAATTTAACCCAACCAAATTCAATCCATTGAATTTTGATCATCCAAACCCAATTCATCCAAACCTGCTTATACTTCTAATTTTAGAAAATTGTTGTGTTAGTTAATAATAGAGTTAAACTTATAAAATTCTTATTATTTTCCATTCGTTTATTATAGTTTTCTAGGTCTGTGTAAGAAAACTTAAGACAACACCAATGTAGTTCATGTAAATTAAACCAATGGTTGAGAGTGCAAATGCAAATGTACTAGTATTATTTTTTACTTACTAGCATTGCAGACAGGTGGACCCGACTGGGAGGTGAGGTTGGGAAGATTGGACAGCTTGAGTGCTAGTCAAGAAGATTCAGACGATATCATGCCGAGTCCAAGAGCCAATGCAAGCTATCTTATTGATCTCTTCCAGAAATTTAACCTTACTGTGAAAGACCTAGTAGCACTCTCAGGATCTCACTCTATTGGCCAAGGTCGTTGTTTTTCCATCATGTTTAGGCTATACAATCAATCTGGAACTGGAAGACCTGACCCTGCCATTGACCCTACCTATAGAGAAGAGCTTAACAGGCTATGTCCACTGGACGTTGACCAAAACGTGACAGGGAACCTTGATTCCACGCCTGTGGTCTTTGATAACCAATATTTCAAGGACTTGGTTGCTGGGAGAGGATTTCTTAACTCTGATCAAACCCTTTTCACATTCCCCCAGACAAGGGAGTTTGTGAGGTTGTTTAGTAAACATCAAAATGAGTTTTTCAAAGCATTTGCGGAAGGAATGGTGAAAATGGGTGACTTGCAGTCTGGTCGGCCTGGGGAAGTGAGGACAAATTGCAGGGTCGTCAATGCTCGCCCGGTTCATTTGCTGCTTGAATATCCAGACAAGATGGAGAATAATGTTGAATATATGTAAATAAATGCATGTCATTTGAGATTCAAGCACTGTACGCTTTATCTCTATGAAACAAAATTTACAATGAAAGTATGAAGTATCGTGGCTAATTTTAGTGTAGGACTTCATGATTTCATCCCAAGATTTACTCTTGCTTCCCATTAACTATTTTCACATTCCAGGTTTCCAAATTTATAAATTGTTGAGTGGTTTTATGGGTTTAACCGTAATAAAAGCATTAAATTAATAAATGGTTTGCTACTACATGTAGAGCAGTCAAAAATGGTTTGCTACTACATCTAGAGCTGTCAAAAATGGTTGCTGAAAGTAACGGGTCAATTGGTCCAGTCCGACAGACCAGATACATAGAAGTCTGAAATCTATTAAAGTCTAATGTGGCTCGATATTTTTTTAGTTTTTTTTTTTTGCTAAAAATTAAATAAAAGAGGGGAAGAAATGAGTTAATTTGACCTGGCTAGTGGAACCAACAAACGCAGGACAAAAAAAAATAGTAACTTATTAAGAATTTAAGTCATGTTAGTCCACTTTACATGTTTTGATCTCTCTAATCAAGTCAAGTCAACCTACTTATTATTTATAGAGTCGTAATTAAAAATATCACTTTATCTGAATAGAAGTTGATGAAAAATAGTTATATTTTTTCATTAAAACAAAAAAACTACATCTATCAACTGATTTCAAGAAAAGCCATTGGAAAGAGAATGATGGTGGGGTACTAGGTAGTTTATATTTTATCTTCATACTTGGAAAGGAAACAAATATAAATTGTTGGCTTCAGTTACACTCCATGTGAATATTGTAGAAAAATCCACTGTGAAGGGGAGAAAATAGCGATTAATTACGTTGTTTTAAAGTAAGAAAGTCATTTTTTGTATAAATAAGGAGTAAATATGCACCATACAATCATATATGAATAGTCAACATTAAATGTTTTTAATATTAGATGATCACTTCAGAAAATCATGTACATTTTGAAAAAAATAAATGATTTGTATGTTTCAATCTAGATCATTTATAACAAAATCCAGTAGCTAATATTTATATCTCATATTTATGTGTGTTAACAGAGGTAAAAAAGAGAGTAGATTACACGGGAAAAGACTCCGAATGGAGGAAAATGCAAACCATGGTAGGTTATGTTGATATTCACTGTGTTTTTCCAAAATTTCTTAACTTGGTGTTCCACAATATGTTAGGTTATGTTGACATTCAGTCAACTTGATGAGATTCCATTTCAAAGCAAATATTCTTTTTTCAAACAAGTCTCTCCAAGCTCAACCTTATTGATGGCATCATTACTAGCATTGGTGGAGAGATGATGACCAATGTGAAGGAAACCTTGACTCCTTGGATCAAGTTCTTCAAGGTTGACGTCTTTAATGCTAGTTAAATAAAGGGTGAAGGTAGTCAAATGGAACATTAGATATTTTTATACTAGTTCATCTTAACTATCAAATCTATGTCTAGTTCTCAATCTAACTAGATTGAGTTTCACTATCTTTAAACAAAGATACAAGTATTATTTCAACAAGTCACTTTCGGCTCAATCCTAAGTATTCTTTGACTTACCTCTTCAAGCAACTACCCAAGTATTCTCTTCAGAAACAAACCTCAAAAGGCTTAACAACCAAGTATTCTTTTACAGTCAAGTCTCTCCAAGTTCAAAGCAAATATTCTTTTTTCAAACAAGTCTCTCCAAGCTCAACCTTATTGATGGCATCATTACTAGCATTGGTGGAGAGATGATGACCAATGTGAAGGAAACCTTGACTCCTTGGATCAAGTTCTTCAAGGTTGACGTCTTTGATGGGGGAAAGGATGAAAATAGAGGTTGGATAGAAAGTGTTTGATGAAAGGCTTGAGAAGGCACTCTAGGGTTTGGCTCACTCCATGGATGACAAAGGAAAAAACAAAACTAAAATGATGTACAATATGATGTTTGTTATGGTTGCTCGTTGTCCACTGAAGGAATAAAACTGTCTCTCCATGACAACCATGGATCAAGCAAATTGATACATAACCATGTTTGCTCGTTGGCATTGTCAATTAGGCATTTGAGTTGGAATGGATTAGAAGTCCTACAACAAAAGAATATGGTTGAAGGCTTGCCAATGATTGAAACTTCTAAGAAAGTATATGAAGTTTTCCTTGTGGGAAAGTAACATCATGATTCTTTCCAAGTGAAGCTAAGTGGAGAGCCTCCAACATACTACAATGGATACATGTTGACATATGTGGCCTATTGTTATATGTGATGGAGGACCATCCTTGGAGCTTTATGTGGGACCCATCACTAGGTCCATGCTAGGAGATTGGAAGAGGATAGGGGAGCTAACACCCTTAGAGACATGCTTCTTATGGCTATTAATCATTCTCTTAAGCCTTGTTAGCATTAAATTTATTATTTCTATTTTACCCTTATATTTTGGTTACCTTAGACATAAGATTTATTTTACTCCTATTTCCTATTTTACTCTTGTATTTTGGGGGTGTCTTAGTCATAAGATTTAATTTTACTTGTATTTCTCATTTTACCCTTGTATTATAGGGTGCCTTAGATTATAAGATTTTATTTTATAGCTAGGGTATTTTATTAAGGTTGGAAACTAGGCCTAGACATGTTTTTTGGTGGCATTGGATTTATTTTTGGACTTGGCAAGGCTTAGGTCCAAGTGGAGGCCACCTAGGTTGCATGGTCTTATCATGCACCTAGATGTAGCTTAACCAAACCTAAAGATTCCATCCTTGGTCACCAAGTATGCTCTAGGGTTAATTTAGGTTTCATTTGAAGTTCATTTGGCTTGTATTACTTGGCCATAAACTCTCAAATGTAACCCTAAATGCATACTTCGTGTTTGATGAAAGGCTTGAGAAGGCACTCTAGGGTTTGGCTCACTCCATGGATGATGAAGGCCACTTCTAGGGTTTCTCTCAAGGTGAAGATAGGTAGGGTTTGGCCAAATATTAGCCAAGAGTGACTAAGGAAAATAGTAAGGCACAAGGCTCACTCAATATTATAAATTTTAAAGTATTTACATGGAGGCTAGCCTAGGGTATTTATAGAAGGAAGTATGCATTTAGGGTTACATTTGAGAGTTTATGGCCAAGTAATACAAGCCAAATGAACTTCAAATGAAACCTAAATTAACCCTAGAGCATACTTGGTGACCAAGGATGGAATCTTGCCCCCTTGGAGAAGCAATCAACCACCACAAGAATAACAATGTTGCCTGAAAAGGATGGAAGACTAATGATGAAGTCTAAAGATAGATCCTCCCAAATAACATTTGGAATAGGTAAAGGATGAAGCAAACTAATAGGCAATTTGGTCTCATATTTTTTTTGTTGGCGGGTATGCCACTACATTACAAACTGCTTAAAGTCGCAACACATATTTGGTCAAATTTTTTTCCTAGAGTCGAGCAAGCGTTTTAAAAATGCCAATGTGAATAGCTAGGGGAGTTTGCTAAAACTCTTGTAACAAAAGATTCTGGTATGGAGAAGAGGAGGGAATCCAAATATGTCCCTTGAAAAAAAGTAAACCCTCATAAATGTTAAAATTTGCATGCGCATTTGGATGAGACTAAACCTCATGAAAAAGTTGAAGGAATTCATCATTGCTCAACAAAGACTTGAGGAGATCATCTAAGAAGACAAAATGAGGCATCAATAAAGTCAAACAAAGACCAGAATCCTTAGTGAAAATTTGAGACAAGGCATCTGCCACAACATTATGTCTACCAGCCCTATATTGAATAGTATAATCGTAACCCAACAACTTAGAAAGATAAACTTGTTGTTCTAGGGTTTGAATAGTTTGAGACATAAGCTCCTTCAAGCTTTTTTGATCAGTGAGAATAGTGAAATGATGGCCCAACAAGTATTGTCTCCACTTCTTAACAACAAAGGTGATAATGTGGATTTCGTGAATATAAGTGGAAGCACGAAGAAGACGAGGGCAAAAAGGCTAACTAAAATAAGCGATAGGATGGCCCTGTTGCATTAAAACAACACCCATAACGGTGCTAGATGCATCAGTCTCAAGGATAAAAGGGAAATGAAAAACTTGGAAGAGCCAGGACAAGTGCTTCAGTCATTGCACGTTTAAGAGTGTTAAAAGCAACTTGAGCTTCTAGAGTCCAATGAAAGCTACCAAGCTTAAGGAGAGCATTCAGGGGTCTGACTATAGAGGCATACCCACAAATAAACTGATGATAGAAATCGCTTAAACCCAAAAAACCATGAAGGTTGCATACGAAAAAAGGTTTGGGCCATTCTAGCATAGCTTGAATCTTGGAGGGCTCATGAGATATCCCTGCATGAGAGACAATGTGACCTAAATATTCTAATTGACGTTGACCAATGAGACATTTGGAGTTTTGTAGAGAAAATTCGTCATCGTGAAGGGTTTGAAAAACTTGCTCCAAATGTAGTAAATGGTCCTGTAAGGAACGACTATACACCAAGATATCATCAAAGAAAACAACAACAAATTTGCGAAGAAATGGAGCAAAAATAGTATTCATGGTTGCTTGAAAAGTAGAAGAAGCGTTACATAAACCAAATGACATGACTCGATACTCAAAATGGCTGTGGTGAGTACGAAATGCCATCTTTGGGATATCCTTGATATTCATACAAATTTGGTGAAACCCTTGACGAAGTTCCAATTTGGAGAACCAAGAAGCACCGACAAGTTCATCCAAAAGTTTATTTATGATCGGAAGCGAAAAATGGTCATGCACAATGATGGAATTCAAGGCATGAAAATCGATGCACACCCTCCAAGTACTATCCTTCTTCTTGACATAGGACACATGAGAGGAGAAAGGGCCACTACTAGGTTGAATAAAGCCATAACAAAGCATTTCGCCAACCTGCCATTCAATTCTGCACTTTTGGTAATGGGGATAGCGGTATGGGTGAACATTGGTTGGGGCAACATTGGGAAGTAAATGAATATGGTGGTTGGTGGTACGATCTGGTGGTAATGTGGTGGGTGTAAATAATAGATGGGTGAAACATTGAATAAGGCTAGCCAAAAGTGGGTTTGGATGTGATGGAACCTCAAAAGAAGATGGGGTTGAGTTAGGGAGAACCTGTATGTGAAAAAAGACAGAG